GCTCAGGCGGCAGCCCTCGGCGGTGCGCGCGGTGGCTTCGCGCACCAGCTCAGCACCGTAGAACAGCCGCACGTGCAGCCAGCAATCTGCGGAAAGGGGAGACCAGGCCCGTGCGCCAGGCGTTGGCGGCACCCGCTCCCCCCTCCCCCAACAACAGGGCAGGGGACCCCGAGGTCCTCCAGGCCCCACCTAGGGAATTTTTGGCGCTCCCTCACAATAATTGATAGTAATGGTTCTAGTAGTAGTGGTGGTGGTGGTGGTGGTAGTAATGGTAAATAGTAGCAGCTTCCAGTATAAACGAAGTGGTAGTTGAGCTTCAAAAGCATAAGGTTGGGAGCCATCTGTGCAATGGGGGCCTGACACTGAGGCCCTCCCAGCCCCAGCTTCTGGGATTTTAGGAGCTTCTTCTCAGCAAATATTTTAATGCTGGTAGAAATAATAATAATAACAATGACAACAACAACAACACAGCAGCCTCCCGCATGAAGAGCCAGTACCATGCTCAATGGATAGGGCAGTGGGCTCTGCAGCTAGGCCCTTGAATTCTAATCTCTCTCTGCCACTTAGGACCTGTGACCTATTAATAACTTTCCTAGGGTAACTAGCTGAGTGACCTTGGACAACGTTCTTAACAAACATCCATGTCCATTTTCTGCATCTGGAAAAGGGGGATAATGACAGTATCTATCTCACAGGGCTATGGGGAGAGCTTAGAACGATGCTTGGCGTAAACTAAGTCCTCAACAAATGTTGGCTGTTGTTGTTTTTGGGAGTCTGGGGCTCTGTGGGGGAGACAGAGGCTAGCCAGCCCCAACCCTGGGATGCACAGTGGTCAGAGGGGAAGGCCTTCAGATTTCTTACCGGGGTTGCTGAAGTCCTCAGGGGGCGAGGGGCTCCAGGGGTGTGCCGGGTCCTGTGCCTGGTACCCTGGGGAAGGAGGGGGAGTAGTCAGGTGCCACCTCACCCTAGGTCCCTCCACCCAGGACTAAGGTCCCAGAGGAGGCTGGGGAGGAGGCAGGGGTGGGTGAGGAGACCCAGTCCTTACTGTGGTCAGCCAAAGGGCTCAGGAGCAGGGTGGCTGGTGGCAGGGATCCCTGCTGGGCCAGCCTGGGGGGCTGCTCCTTGTCCTTATCCTCTGTGGCTAATCCGGAGCCATCCTGAGCATTGGGAGAGAGGGTCGTGAGGGTGGGAGAGGAGACCTGTGGGCCACAGGAGTTCCCAGACTGTCCGCACTGGGGCGGGGGGATGTCTGGACAGACTGAAGGCCAGCTGAGGGTTGATAGGGGTTTCGAGGTTTCAGAGCTCAAGACTCTTCCCCCCATAGAGGTAAAGAGAGAGTTGATGGGGTTGTTGGAGGTGATGGTGTCAGAGATGAAGTTCCTGTGATAGGGAGAGAAGTGCTGGGAGTGAATGAGGAGATGGGAAACAGAGGTGATAGAGATGGGGGACAGAGCAATGGAACAGATGCTGATGGGGGCACTGGGGACAGTGGAATGGACCAGGCTGATGGGTAGACAGGCACAGAGCAATGCACCATTGATGATGGGGGAGAGGTGATGGGGTGGAGATAATAAGGGTGATACAGACAGAGCGATGGAGATAGAGATGAGGGGGGTGATGAAGATGAAGGGAATACAGTGATGGAACTGGATCTGACAGGGTGAGTGAGGACAGAGTGATGGACCCAGCGATGAGAGGGGAGAGGGGGTGAATTTGGAGAAAATAGAGCTGATGCAGACAGAGTGATGGAGCTGAAGATGATGGAGGTGATGGGAACAGTGAGGGAGACAGAGATGATGGGGGTGAAGGGAATAGAATGATGGAGCTGAAAATGGTGGCGGAGATGGAGTGGAGGTAAGAAGTGGAGCTGATGGGAGGGATGGGGACAGGGGAGCAGGAGCTGATGGTGGGGTTGAGATAAATGTGCTGGAGATCATAGAAAGGGTGGTTTGGGTGAGAGGTAAGCAAGCTGGCAAGGCTGCAGGGGCTGGAAGGACACACTGACCTGGTCTGTCCTGCAGGCCGGCTCCGTCACTTCTCCAGGGGGCTCCTCCTGGCTCTGCACAATGCCTTTCTCTTCAGGGGGAGCAGAAGCCTTGGTAACTGGATGGAGCAAGAGAAAGCCTGTTGTTTCCTGGGCCCCAAGGGGAACCCCCTCAACCAAGATGGTCCTAGACAAGAGTACCCCAGCTTACTGCGTGATCGCAGGCAAGGCCCACCTCTCTCTGGGCCTCAGTCTCCTCCTTTTCAAGTGGGGAGATAACCTGGGTGGTCTAAGTGTCCTCTGTTTACCAGCCCCTGAGTTTAAGCTCAGTAAGTCCACCATTTCCCATTTTACAGATGGGCAAAGTGAGGTCCTTGTTGCCCAGAGAGCCATCCTTGGCCAATACCTCCAGGGGCAGGATGGTACCTGGGCCATGGGCACCGACGGACACAATCCGGTAGACCTTGTAGGGGTTGGAGATGTCCAGCTGGCTGCGCGCATGCACCTCACAGAAGTCGGCACTCTTGTTGAGGGCACAGCGGAGCCGTGTCTTCCAGGTGGAGGGGTCCTCCTTGTCAATGCCCTCTATGTGCTTGCCCTTGTATATGGCCCAGGCCTGGGGATGAGCAGGGGGACTTGGGGAGGAGAAGCCCGGGAGAGGGGGCTGGTGCTCTGCAAAGGGGTGAGGGCCTGCCTTGCCTCCCACCTTGCTCTCTGCCTCTCTGCCCCTCTGCCCCTCTGCCCCTCCGCCCCTCCATCCTTCCTTCTCTTCCGCCCTCCTTCCATCCAACACATATACCTTGAGTTCCTGCTATGTGCCAGTCCCAAGCTAGGGATTGAATTGGGAACAAGACAGACATGGCCCTGCTCTCAAGGAACTCAAATCTAATGGGAGAATACAGCTGCAAACAGCTGAACGGAAATAACTATATTCCAAATTATGGATTGTGATAAAAAATAAATAGGATGATGGGATATAAAATAATGGCAGTGATTTGCTGTCTGGAGAACCATAAAACTCAATCCCTACCTATTGCCGCATACAAAGTGGAGTCCAGATGATTAAAAAAACCAAACTAAGAGGTAAAACTGTAAAATTAAAAGAAGATAATATAGGAGAAAATCTTCTAGGGGCAGAGAATCCTTCTTAAACAAAACTTCAAAGGCATGAACTATAAGGCAAAAAAAATCACGTCTGAAATTCGCAAGAGGCTAAGGTCTAGAACATACAAGGAACTTCTGCAAATCATCAAGAAACAGAGAGTATCTTCTAAAGAAAAAAATCTTATCAAACGACAAGAATGGGTGGTTTACAGAAGAGGAAACCAGAAGCCCATGAGCATATGAGGAAGTCCTTAAACTCATTAGTGTCAGAGAAATGCAAATAAAAATATGGGATATCACCTGTAAGCAGGCAGAATTTAACTAGTGGATAATGCCAAGGGTTGATGGGGATGTGGACACTGTTAGGGGCGTGGAATGGGGGCAGAGCCTCTGGGTAGTAATCTGGCACACCTAGTCAAATTAAGTATAAACATACCCCATGAGCAGAAATGCCAATTCCAAAGGAATTCTCACAGAGGCTCCTGAGGGGCCGAGGGCAAGGATCCCCACAGCAGCATTACTTGTGCTGAAAAGCAAACTTGTGTCCATCCGTGGGAAAGTGGGTGGGAGTGTGTGTATAATGGATGCCCACTGCAGAGCCTATGCAGCGTGTAGAAGCATCTAGGAGCAACAAATTAGATGTGCAGAGAACAAGAACAGATCTTCAGAGCATGATCCTGAGTGAAAAAAAGTAAGACTCCCACAGGAGATCTGCAGACAATATGATGTGCAAGAGATAAGAACGCACACAAAACAGCAATGCCCACTTTGCAAGAAAACCAAAGATATTCATTAAATACATTAGAATGACTGCTTGTGGTTGTAGAGGGACTAAATACATAAGAAATAGGAGAGACTACTTTAGAGAAGGTGATCAGAAAAGGCTTCTTGGAGGAAGTGGCGTTTGAGCTGAAGCCTGAATGAAAAGGATGGAATCTGACAGAGAGCTGGGGGAAGGGTGTTCTAGGTAGAAGGAATAGCAAGTGCAAAGGTCCTGAGGCGGGAAGAGATGGATAGATTCCAGGAAGGCCAGTGTGGCTAGAGTTGAGCGGTCAAAGGGGAGGGCAGTAGGAGATGTGCTGCTTGCATTGATCACATTCAGGGCTGGGGGGGATTGCAGTGATGAATCACATTTAGTCATTACCCTCAGAGATTCCAGGCCTGGTGGGAAACCAAACAGAAAAGCCACAGTTCCTATGCTGGTACCACTTGCCAGTGATGAGACCCTTCAGGCTTGCTGTTGTCTGTAAAGTGCTGATAATGCCTAACCTCATGTGGTTGTGGTGAGGGTAAGGTGAGCTGTCTATGTAAAGTGCCTAGCGCAGCGCCTGGTACATAGTCAGTGCTTATTTATTGCAGTACCTATGCATTATACTAAGGATACTCTAACTCAAAGGTAACCTGGGCGCCGGGCACAGGATGCCATCACCATGATGACAGAGGGATCTTTGTTTTTTCCCTGCCGTGTCACCAAGCACCTGGAGTGGTGCCTAGCACACGGGAGACGCTCAATAAATATTTGTGGACTGACTTGAGCTGGGCCTTGACGGGTGAGTAGGAAGTTGCCAGGTGGAGTGGCGTTCCTGGTCGGGGAACAGCTTGATCAAAGGCCTGGAGGTGTGAAAGGGCATGGTGCATTCAGGGCATGGTGAGCAGCCTGGTGTTGCCGGAGCTGGGTATGTGTGTCCGAGGGTATGTGGACAGTCAATTCGTCTTATTCTTGCTATAAAATCTACACAAACACTGAACTGGTGAATACTGAACCATTGTCCCAGGGAAAATACAGGACTGGGTTCCTGTGATCCTCTGGTTACACCATTTTCATCAACAGATCAGTACATAACCTTGTTTTGTGTGTGTTTCTGTTTAAGGACACCTGATTTAATATAAACCGTTGATTCATTCATACTGAACTCACAGCCAGCAGCAGCGTAACTCACATCTGAACGAAGCTTATCTAACACACGTGTGTTCTCTGATGTGCAAGGCACATCACAGCCTTCTTGTGCTTATGAACACTAGACAGTGCTTCAGCACTATGCTTGGGGCCATTTTAAACAGTGAAATCATCAAAAAAAGCGCACAAAAATATTAAAAACATGGCACTAAATAGACTGTGAAAAGGACCCTTGTTTACAGTAGGAGAGCTAAAACTAGAAGGCAGAGCATCACCTCGTTCAGCCCCAGCTAGGAATGTGCACGTCCAGTGACTCAAAGTTCTTGCCATTCTGAACATGTCTGTGAATGGCTGCAAAGGTGCCTTGAGTATTGATTTGGGGATTACAAATTTTAGCAAGTAAGCAAATTTGCAAATATGGAATCCATGAATAATGAGGATCAACTGTCTGTGGTGGGGGAAAGGAGAAGAGGAATTAAGGAAGATGAGACAGACTGAAGCTGGATCATGAACGTCCTCGAAGGCCAAGCTTTACCCCATGGGCTTTAGGGCACCGAGGGTGTGAAGCCAGGAAGTCACATGTGTGCGTCAGTGGTGGGTTGAGGGATGGGTGAAAGCAGCCAGAGGGATGAGGAGGGCCAGCCCCCAGAATCTCCCTCCTCCAAACAGCACATAGTCTTAAGAGACAGGCCACGCAACCATCTGTTCAACACTGTGCTCATTGTCACCACCCTCGAGCAGCAGGAGGGAGTCTGCTGATGGAGACATACAAGGCAGTTAAAATTCATCGGGAAAGTTGTTCCAATGCAGGAAGCAGAAAGATCAGGGATGACTTGCGAGAAGCACTGAGGTAGAGTTTAATAAATGCACTAAACAAATGAATGCATCAGGGAAGGCTCTCTTGAGGAGGAGATGTTTAAGCTGAGCACGATGGGAGTTGGCTAGGTGAAAGTGAAGAGAAGAGGGTGTCCCAGGCAGGGGAAGAGCATGTGCAAAGGTCTAATGGTGCGGGAGACATGAAGCATTTAGAAACTGGAAGCACTATCAGGCCAGGCCTAAAGTTGGGGAGGAGAGGGAGTGGAGAGAGACGAAGCCACCGAGGGGCAGTTCACGCAGGACTTTGAGTCAGGACTTTATCACAAGGGCAATGGGGAGCCATGGAAGGATTCTGAGCAGTGGAGGGTCACGGCAAGATTTACACTTAGAAAGATCCCTCCAGAGGACTGAGGGGAGAGCTAAGGGACGGGGGAAGCAGGAATCTCAGTGAGGTCCCTGCAGCTGTCCTGGTGAGAGATGGTGGAAATGGGTCCAAGTAGATGGACTGAAGATAAAATCCACAGGAAGAGCCAGCAGGCCTTGGTGATGGAGTAGAATGAGACTGGAAGAGAGGCGAGCAGCCAGGGTTCAGGTGCTTGGCTCTGGGGTCTGGGTGGCAACTGGTGCCATCTTCTACTTTGGGAAATACAGACGTTTGTAGGGGCGAGCTAATGAGTGTGGTATTGAGGGTGTGCTGAGTTTGCGGGGTCTGGGGGCCGCCAGACCAGCAGGCTTGGGGCTCCATGCTGAAGTGGTGAAAGGGGAGAGTGGGACATGAGGAGGGAGGTCCAGGAGTGAGCTGCAAAAGAGGAGGGGACGGAGTGGAGGCTGAGAAGCAGGGGCCAGGGAGGTAGGAGGAAAATGGGGGGCAATGTGGGGGATGGGGTGGGAAGCAGAGATTCTGGAAACGAGTGAGATGTTTCAATGAAGAAGGAACGTCCACCAGGCCCAGACCCACCAAGAGGTCAAAGAAGATGGAGACGGTGACGGCATCCTTGGATTTGGCAACTAGAGACATTTGCAGGAAGGACAGAAGCCAGACTAGGGGTGGTGGTAGGGAGAAGGAATTGGGGGGCTATGAGTGAGGGAGTTGATAACCAAGACCCTTTCCAGGTGCTCCACCCTGTGAAAGGAGAGAGCAGGCGGGAGAAGCAGGAGCTGGAGGCGCTGCAGTGTTTGGGGTGTGGCAGCGGCCTGCTATGCGATTGGTTCCTTATTGCTCAGCAGAGAGACTTCAGAGTTTAAACGTCGATGGGAGAGCGCCAGTTTGGAGGAAGTTAATGATGACTGAGGAAGGGAAGGCATCCCTGGAGGAGGTCCCTGAGAAGGGCTGGTGTTGGGAAGCACAGAAAATGTCCCCAAGTTGCCGGGCTTGGTGGTTTGGGGCGGGGAAGTGGAGGGAATTCCCATGGGTGGCTTCTGATCTCCCCGTGGAGAGGGAGCAGAGGCCCCCTGAGAGGTGGGGATGGTGCAGGTCACGCAGCCATGGTGATTCCGTTTTAAGAGGGTGTCTGAGGGTCTCCCGCATTAGGAGAGCACTACCCTCAACCTAGAGACAACTGAGTTCAAGGGCCGAGCGAGTGGCCGAGGTCACACAGCGCGTCGGTCAGTCCGGGCGCTGGGACCATGCGCATCCAGAGCCCTCCCGGGGCGTCCCCCGCCCCCTTACCCTGAAGAGCGCCGCGTCCTGCTGCGCCCGGTAGCCCTGCTTGGCTGCGTGCTTCCAGGGGATGCGGAAGAGGGTCTTGCCCTCGTCCTCCCAGCGCAACCCCTCGTAGTGCCCGCTCTCGATCTGCGCCACCAGCCAGTCGCGGAGGCGCAGGGGACCCCTGGCCCCCACCTTGCGTCGCCTGCCGTCGGGGACCTTCCCTTCCTCTCTCCGCCAGGGGTCGCCGGCCATCGGGGACGTAATGCGCCGGGGGCCAGGTCTCGGGCGCGGCGACTGGACCCCAGCGCGAAAGGGGATCGCGGGGACACCTGGCTGGCGCGCGGAGGCGGCGAAAGCGAAAGTCTGGGCGGGCGGTTTCGCTTTCCTTTCTGCCCCCACTCCAGGACGCCCTGGCCTTTCGCCCCTCCCCCTGTAGCCTGGCCCGGAGGGCGTCGGGCCTCGCGTAGCGGGCAGCTAGGGGCGCAGTGGGACGCCAAGATCCGGTGGAGGGTAGGGCCTCGGGGTAGCCCAGGCTCTGTCCGTCCTCGGAGGGGGGCCCAGACAGGCACCCAGAGGCGCCCCTGCACCTGTTCTCTGCTCTTCCCAGCTTACTGGAAACCTGTCAGTCTCTTCTCAGGACCTGGACTGCAGAGGTGGAAAAGGCGCAGGGCTTCTCAAAGGAAGGCCCATCAGAATTAGGGGGCGGAGACCGGTTTATAACGCACACCCTGGTCTCCATCCCAGACCTGCAGAATCAGATTTCCCGGGCAGAAAGCCCAGGAACCCGCATTTTAATGAGTCCCCCCATAGGATTCTGATTCAAGTGGTCCATGGGCCACACTTGGAGACTATTTCCTTCCCCATTTCTGAGCTTCCCCCTCTACTGACAGCTCACCGAAGAGCTGGGCCTGGCTAAAGCCTTTCCTGCAGTGTCACAATTGTTTCTCACAACAGCATGCGAAATGAGTATAATGACCTATTTTATAGCGAGGAAGACTGAGGCTCCGGGAGGCTGAGGCCCTATAGCCAGATCACAGAGCTGGTAGGTGGGGGAGCCAAGATCCGAACCTGTGTCTCTCTGCCCCCAGGGCCAGGAGCCTGAACAGTGCCCCACACTGCCTCCCAACAGCTACACCTGGAGTTTATGGATTCCTGGTGGGGTCTGTGACCCCCCCTCCAAAGGTGTATGCAAATTTTTTCATGTCTATGTATTTTTCTAGGGTTTCTATCGTTCATTAAATTGTCAAAGGGGGTTTGTGATAAGAGGCCAAGTAGCTCAGACTGTCCCCCCCTTGCTGTGACATGGGGAAACTGAGGCTTCAAGAGAGAAACCACACCTCACTCAGCGGGCAGAGAGCTGGATGCCCAGCCAGCATTGATCAGTGGCTGGCAGCACTGTCCCTCATAGGTACCTGTCAGGCGGGCCTTCTTCGTGCTCCCCACCCTCTGTCCTCACATGCCAGCTGCCACCCAATTCTGACACTTCTACAGTCACAGTCAGGATTCAGACTCAGGCCTGTAGGGCTCCAAAGGGTCACAAAGGAGTTCACATGATTACATACGAGTCATAATGATATCTAAGCGGGAGTCTTGAGTGTGTCAGACAATCGCTTCATTTTTCCAGGTGACAGAGCATAGTAATTAAGAGGGTAGGTCCACAGCCAGGGAGCCGGGATTCAAATCCCAGCCCCGCCACCTGCCAGCTGGTGACCTTCGGCACCAACCTGTTTCCTCCTCTGTTAGCAACATCTACTTCATAGGGTTGCTGGAGGATTAAATAAGATGCAGGTAAAGTGTTTGGCACATTGCCTGGCCCATAGTGAGTGCTCAATAATGAGTGGTATTATTATTGTTATTGTTGAGTCAGACTGTGGTAAAAGTAATGACAGAAGGAGGGGAGCAGCATGAAGGACCTGGAACATCAGATCAAGGTGCTTTGCTTTGTGCCATAGATGATGAGGCCATGGAGGCTTTTAAATAGGGGGACACCAGCAGAAACAGAAAAGTGTTTTAACCCCGGTGGATGGTGGCACCGCTGACCAGCCAGGACCGTAGGCTCCCCGCACTCTGGTGAGTCTGGCCGCCTTGCTGTCCACACACCATCTTACCTCGGGGACTTTTCGTGACTGTCCCCTCTGCCTGGAATGCTGCCCCCAAAGAGCAAAACGGCTCACTCCCTCATTACCTGACAGATTTGTTTTCCCTTCTTTTAAATCTGTTTATCTGGTGTCTTTCCCACCAGAATGTCAGCAACTGTATCCCCAGGGCCCAGCACAATGCCTGACACACAGTAGGTCTCAGGAACATTTGTTGAATGAATTCAGACTAGGAGGGCTGGGCAGCAGGTGAAGGTTATTTCATCCATCCCCCTACCCCCAATGAGGGAATGTGGGCCTCCCCCACAGCCCTGAACACAGTGCTTGGTGCATAATAAGAACCCCATACAGTTGGCTGTTAGATTATAGCTATTTCAGACCCCTATCAACTCCAGGTTGGTTTTAGTTTAGGAAAAGTCAGCTCCAATGACCTCTGTTCATTCTTGGAGTAGTTTGCTGCTTTATTGGGCTGCCTTGAGGCCCTCCCTCCCCAGTGGCTGCCCTGGCCTTTAAACTCTAGGTAGGAAGGGTCATTCCCACTAGCTGAAGGGTGGATCTTCCTGGCCAGTAACCTCCAAGACCAGAAGGAGCTGCTTCTTAACAACCATCATGAGACTCAGACTGCCTAGGTTCAAATCCAGCCTCCCCTACTCCAGCTGTGTGTCCTGGGGCAAGGTCCCTGACCTCTCTGAGCCTCAGTTGCCGCCCGAGGATTAAGTGAACTCCTGTATGTAAAAGGTCAGGTGTGAGGGAGGCACTACAACACCTTACTAGCTAGTATTTGTGAATAGGGAGGGGTGAGGAGCTGGAGAGGAGGAGGGGGCATCAGGGAAGATGGGGGTTCAGAGATGGGGGAAGGGCTTCAGAGAGAAGGAGGGACTCAGGGGTCTTTTCAGGAGACCAGGGCTGGGGAGAGATGGGGGTGGGGGTCAGGGAAGTGAGTGTAGTCCCCAGAATTCAGCCCTGCAGACTGCAGTCACCGAGGGTGGCAGGTTCCCCAGGCCCTAGGGGAGACAGAGCCCCTCCGGTACCCCTTTCCTGCAGGCTCCTGGTCCCTCCAGTCCTGCTGCCCCGCCTTTGCTGAATGACTGGGAGGCGCTCAGACAGGCAGCTTCTGTGTCTCTTTAATATCCTCTAGGCCCGTCCAACCCCCACCCACCCTCCCCCTCCCACTCCTGCCGCCTTGGAGGGTGGAGGCCTGGGGGCCCCCTCCCCCAGCACAAGGACTAAGGCACCAGGTGGCTGCAGCAGGCCGGCCCAGACGCAGAGACGCACAGATGGCGGACACGCTGACTGCAGACGCACACAAGCAAGGCGGGCATGGGGGCGGGGTCAGGGATCGGGCCGCCGCGGGGCTCCCCAGGCTCTGGGCCGGTCCTGGAGGCCGTGGGAGCCCCAGACAGCCCCCAGAGGGGACCAGTCGGGAGGAAGAGGGGTGCCACAGCGGGGCGGGATCCTCACTTGCCGCCTTTGCGGGACAGACACCGCGGGAGGCAAGAGAAAGTCTGCTTGACGCGCGCCAGCAGCGGCAGCGGCCGGTGGGCTTCCCGGGGCGTCCGTGGCACCAGGCGCTGCAGGGTTCCCTCGGAGGCCGAGGAGTGCGGCGCGGGGGAGGCGGCCGAGGTGACAGAGCCCTGCCGGCAGCGTTTGCACAGCGGCAGCAGCGCGCGCACCTCCTCCTCGTCGCGGAAAGGGCTCTCCCCGAAGCGCTCCTCCAGCTGCCGGCGAAGCTGGGGTGGGGATGTAAGAGGGGGCGGGGTCCGTGCCAGGCCGCCGGCCCGGTCCCGTCCCAATCCTCACAGCCTCCGCGCGGCTGTGAGCTTCCCACACCTCGCTAAGCCCCTTCCCTTCCCGAGCATCCTCTTAGCCTCCCTTCTGAGTTTCCATCCCCCCCATTGAGCCCCCCTCCCCCTCTATGAGTCCCTTCCCTCTCCCTGAACCCCCTTCTCATTTGATGCTCCATCTTCCAGACCTGCTCAACTCACCCCTCACCTGCACAGTGGGGACCACATGAGCCCCTCCCCCCTGCAGCAACTCCACTCAGGCAGAGCATCTTCCTCGCCTGCCTCCTGCCTAACGCAGCCCTGCAGACAAGCCTCTGGGTACCAGCCTGCCACCTGATGAGAGCCTTCCTGAACTTGTTGCTTCTCCCTCTCTCTGTCTCTCATCCCTTTTTCCCAGGGAGGCCTCAGTTCCTGACATTTCCCTGTGCCATCTGCCCAGTGGGCATAAGAAAAGGAACTGCTAGGGCCGGCCCCGTGGCTTAGCGGTTAGGTGCGCGCGCTCCGCTGCTGGCAGCCTGGGTTCGGATCCCGGGCGCGCACCGACGCACTGCTTCTCGGGCCATGCTGAGGCTGCGTCCCACATACAGCAACTAGAAGGATGTGCAACTATGACATACAACTATCTACTGGGGCTTTGGGGGGAAAAATAAATAAATAAAATCTTTAAAAAAAGAAAAGGAACTGCTTTGGCCTCATCAAGGACTCGGGGGCTGGGGGGGGGGGGGGGGGGGGGAGGGGGGGAGGCACAGTCTCCCCCAAGGGGCCAAACTCTCAAATGCCTTCAGGTTCTAGGCGCGTAGAGCAGGCAGTGCTGGGACCTGGTCAAATTGAAGGGTCCATAGTCCGGCCCCAAAAGCATTCAAATTCTAAATTAAAAAAGAAAACACCTGGCTGGCCAAACAAACTACACCTAGGGGCTAGATTAGCTCAAGGGCCATGAGTTTGAGACCACAGAAAAATCTTCTGTCAAGTGTGAAGCACAGGCTGAATTCTTTCCAGTCGGTGCTAAGCTCAAGTGGGAGGAAGAGTTTCCCACCCCACCCCTACCCCAGCCCCAGCCCCTACCTTCCGGGAGCTGCCCCAGCCAAACTCTTCAAGCTGTTGCCTAAAGCCTGGGTTGGGGTTGGCGATGGGCCGAGTGGCCTTAATGGCTTCAAGCACGTCCCGCCAGCCGAGCCCCGTCACGGTCATCACATATGCCGTCACGATGGTGGTGCTGCGGGAGATGCCTGCAAAGCTGGGATGCCCCCACCCCCAGGCTTCGGATGAGGCCCAATCTCCTCGGTGCCACCCAGGCACCCGGTCCCCACCTCAGCTCTCCCGCCCTTGCCTCCTGAGCGCCAACCACAAGGAGCCTGCCGGGACCTGTCTTCCACTCCAGGCCTTTACCCATGCTGTTCCCTCTGCCTGGAGAATCCCCCAGGCATTCTCCCACATTACAGGCCTGAGTGAAACATCATATCATTCATTCATTCAACAA